TTTAAATTCGTGATTAAAGCATCCAAACGATAAATAATTGAGATAAAAACTATTCTTTTTTATAGCCTGTACCCAAAGGGTGAAAGGCTATAGTTTTGTGCGCATGTATGTAACACACAGAAGGAGGCGTGGCAGACCCCACAAAGTATATATATTCTTGATCAGGGTGACAAGCCGAGTCGATATAGCCATGCCCGTCTGTCCGTCCGTCCGTCAGTATGAGCGCAAGGATATCAGAAGGTACAAGAGCTTGAATTACCAAACTTGGCATCCAGGTTCCCCTAAGCCCTAGGCAGGTTAAGTTTGTTTTGTTATTTTGATACACCGCCCCACTCCCCCGCAGTTCGTGTTTTTTCTTATAACTTCCGTAATTCTTGGAATTTTGAAAATTTTAGTAGTTACATTCAGTTAGTGCTTATGTGTCCGTGTGCCAAGTTTCATCATGATAGGTCAATTCTGAAGAAAGTTATAGCCATAAGTAAAATCGCTGCTCATGCGCTGCCTCCAGCTCTGCTTTTGATGTTGCTGCTTTGGTTCAACTTTGTGCTGCATACATACACGCATATAAACACGCATAGGGACGTGATGTAAATGTATGCTGTTAAAACTGAACATAAACATGTATTCTAATTTAATTTAATTATTAATTCATTTTCTTAAGAATTTAATTTTTTTTTTAATTTTTCTTTTTTGTGGAGAGTACAGGCTATTTTACTGTCGGGCTTGCTCGACTTAGCGTTCTATCTTGTTTTAAGGTAGACCCAATGACAGATACGTAGATACGTGTGCAATTTGAATTGAATCGGTTCAGTAGTCTCGGAGTCTATCAAGGACAAACATCGTGACACGATGTTTTTATTTCCCAAGGATCAGGTGTGTTGAGGCAAGGCAGTTAGCTACAGAAAAATGCGGAATTAGAAGAGTTAATCGTGGATGAGTTTTCTAAAAACCCAAAAAAAATTTTAATATATTTTCACTTATCTATCCTAATGTACGTATATAAGTTACTTAATAAATTGGAAATAATTTGTACTGCAAATAGGCCCCCCTTTGTAAAAAGCTGCATACGCCCGTGCACAGAATGAGGCGAGGCAAGCCCAACAAAATATACATAGTATGTAAGAGTATATCTATTTTCCTTCTTAATATGACATGATGGGTCGAAATAACCTTGAGCGCCGTCCCGTCTGTGGGAACGGAAGGATCTTGGGGTTGGAAAATGTCCCATTTCGTTTGTTAGGTCTAATAACGCCTCTGACCACTTTTAGCTGTGAGTCGGGGCAGCTATCTCCCAGCCACAAATTAAATTCCCCCACTGCGTTGGCAATTACATCAGGATAGTGCTTATGTGCCCTAATGTGAATTTTCAGAGTGATAGGGCTGTCTGTATGTCTCTAGGTACGTGTTATATATTTTGTATTTTTTAAATTATTAAATTAAATTTATATTTGTTTTATTTATATTAATATATGCTTGTATTTGTTTATAATTAAGACAAGTCGAGTCGATATAGCCATATCCGTCTGTCCGTCAGTCCGTCCGTCCGTCAGTCCGTCCGTTTGTATGAACGCAAGGATCTGAGGAAGAAGTAATCTCTGAAAGCAATCACTGGAGCGGTATATTGAAGACGTTGAGCCAGGTGACCCTCAATACAACCTGATCAGTCGCCGATCAAGAGCGTCAAAAGACCAATAAGAAGGAAGGAGCCAGTTCAGAACGCCAACGGAGCCTGGTGTCGTTCTGACAGTGAGAGGGCAACAGGTTTTGCCGATTTTTTGTATGACGCATTTTCACCTTTCTCTAGATGCTCTCAAAAGGAAACAGACGAGACGGCCTAGTGCCTGAACGTGCACTGCTAAATGGCGCTCCCTATCCTTGCTATCGAGCCAGATTATTTAAATGCGAAATCGGAAAGCTCAAGGCGTCAAAATCCCCTGGATACGATGAAATCGACGAACCAGCCATCAAAGCACTGCTGCAGAATGGAATCCAGCTCCTTCTTAAAATCACAAACAAATGTTTTCAACTAGGACACTTCGCCACCCAGTGGAAATGTGCTGAAATAATTCTAATTCAAAAACATGGGAAACCTGCACCCAATCCTTCCTCATATCGCCCGATTAGCTTATTGGCGGTTCTCTCTAAAGTCGTGACTATTTTTGCGCAGAGTCCGAGCAATACTGGAGGAGGCCACTGGATCTTGGATCACCAGTTTGGCTTCAGAGAATGTCATCGCACACCTGAACAATGCCATAGGGTTGTCGTTAAAATTTTGGAAGCATTCGAGGAAAAGAAATACTGCTCGACAGTCTTCTTGGACGTCAAGCAAGCCTTTGACAGAGTATAGCACACTGGACTCTACAAGCTGAAGATTGCCCTACCCACACCGTACAACATTATGCTAAAATTTTACGTCGAGGGCAGAAAGTTCTTCGTGAAGTGCGACACATGCAGCTTGACACCATTAACATCTGGCTAAAGAGATGGAATACGAGGGTCAACCCCGAGAAGTCCACTCAAACCACTTCTGCCCTAAGAAGTGGAGACTGCCCCCCGGTTCAACTGGACGGCTCAACTATCCCTAGCAGCGATACAGCCAAGTGGGTCTGGTGCTAGACAGAAGACTAACCTGGAGATCTCACCTACTCAGCAAAAGGTCACACCTGAACGAAAGGCTCAAAAGGCATCTCTGGCTTGTTGGCAAAAGGTCCACCTTGAGACTGCGCTTCATTTTTAAGGCTATAATGAAATCCTGGTGGATCTATGGGATTCCGATCTGGGACACTGCCTGCCAAAACAACTGTAATGTCATACAAAAGTTTCAAATCAAAGCGCTCAGAATCATTTTCAATGCGCACCTATTCCACTCAACCGTGGAGATTCAGAACGAGCTCGGAGTCCCATGGGTTCACGAGCAGATTATCAGGCTGAGCAGAGCCCACATGGAGCGACTAGATAGGCACATTAAGAAGAAACCACCCGCTTGACCTTCCCCTGAGGTAGTTGAACCTATTCTGATGAGCCAAAAATATGCAGCGTTTTTAGCATATGTATACTAAAGCAAGATTCTGCACTACCGTTAAAAAAAACGGGTTACTTTTTTGTGCTATATTAAATGCAAACAAATAGAGGTTCACATCATAAAATTTAAAAAAATGTGTTTTCAATACAAGTAAGAAATATTGGACGAATTTTAAGCAGCATTCTTTGAACCTATGTATTCAGTTGTACGGCAGTGTATGTATGTATGCATTGAATATGTTTTATTTAATGAAATTAATTGATTAAATGAACTACTTTTATTTAAATTAATTTTTTTAAAGTTTATTTTTGGTTTTTTGTGGGAGTGGGTACAGGGTATTTCACTGTCGGGTTTGCTCTACTGTAGCGTTCTCTCTTGTTATTTATTGTTGAAAGCGCCGCAATGTTTTACGTCTTGCCATGAAACATTGCGTTTAAATACTTTTAAAAAATCGAACTCAGTTCCACTTTAAGGCCAAAAACTGCGCCATAATAATGAATGTGTGGTCGATTTCAGATTGCGAAATTTGTATACTCTATACATGAAATGTACAAGAATATATTATGTTTGCGTGAGCTGAAAAATGTAAGAGGCAGAAGGAGGCGTGGCAGACCCCCCAAAGTATATGTATATATTTTTGATCAGCAAGACAAGACGAGTCGATCTAGCCCTGTCTGTCTGTGTGTCTGTCCGTCTGTCTGTATGAGCACCTAGATTTTAGAGACTATAAGCTAGAGCTAGAGACACCAAATTTTGCACAAAGATGCCCTATGTGTGTGTACGCGGGGCAAGTTTGTTTTATTTTTTTGATTTCCCCCCACTTTCGCCCTATGTGAATACGCAGAAAATGTGTATTTTAGAATTCCCCTCCCTCCCCCCTCTCCCCCACAAATCGTAACTTCCGTAATTCCTGTAATTTCAAACTCAAATTTTGCAAATAACCCCAGTTAGTGATTATGTGTCCGTATGCCAAGTTTCATTATGATAGACCGATTTAACAAGAAGTTATAGCCATAAATATATTTTCTGCCCAAGCGCTGCTCGCAGCTGTTGTTGATGTTGCTGCTTTGGTTGACTGCAAGCACAGCTTTGCCGGCAGCGCTGCCTGCAGCTGTTGTTGCTGCTTTGGTTCAACTTTGTGCTGCATACAGACACGCATATAAACACGCATAGGCACGTGATGTAAATGCTGTTAAAACTGAACATAAACATGTCTTCTAATTTAATTTAATTTTTAATTTTTTTAACAATTTAATTTAAAAAAAAAATTTTTTTTTCAATATTTCTTTTTTGTGGAGAGTACAGGCTATTTTACTGTCGGGCTTGCTCGACTGTAGCGTTCTCTCTTATTTTTAATTTGTTAGGAGTTGTCCTTTCATAATCAAACTTGACATTGGACCCATAAGTACTAACAAGATAAATAAATATATTACTGGATTTTTGTTGGTACAATGCAATTAAGAGTTGCCTTTTGGAGTAGGAGCTTTGTATATACACTGTTCTCTATATTATACAAAACTTATTTTTAATCGCACCTAATTTCATGAAATTCGCGTTTTTTCTTTGTAGATAATATATTGATGAACTCAAAAAAGGAAAAAAAAAAAATAAAACGTCTATTGACATCAAATAGGCGGGAAAGTCTATGCACCTAATGTACAATTTAATAAAGGACATATGAAAACAAAGATGTGAGCACAACATGAAGATAAAAATTGGCCCACCACTAATAAAACGGGAGTGATAAAAAGTTGAATAAAGTGTTACTTTTACAAAAATTAGCACAAACAAATTGCGAAATATAAATTATAAATTATTTACCGACTCGTAACATAAGCTCGTCCAATTCCCTACGCAAATGAGAGTCAACCTAAGGTTGCCGTTGAATAAAATAAAAAACACCTAAACCGATTATCTAAACCGATTATCTAAAAATAATTTGTGCAACATATTGCCTGCTTTGGTTTTTGGAATCGGAATGGACCCGAGACTGGCACTTATGGTTTTCCTGTGGGTCTGGGCGCAGTCCTTGCACTGTATCTTGTGCGGCGAGAAATTGGGTAAGTGGATATATTAGATAGTTTTAGTATCTAAATATGCTAGGAGAGCTTGCGAGTCAAATGAATTTTTATTTTGGGGGGCTCCGATCTATTGTTAGAAATGGCAACTGTGCCACTCGCCGGTGACGAAAATTAAACTGAAACGCCACGCTTGGCTTAATAACTAATGGGAGTCCGAGACACGGAAGATCTCGATCTCGAAAGAAAGCTTTCTATCGTGTTGCGCCTTGTGTAGTGGAAAAATTATGTTGTTGAATCGCCAATAATTGGCGTATGAGCGTAAGAGGCTTAGAAGCTGGGCAAGTTAAGGAGAGAGGAGAGGACCATCAAAGTCCTTTCCCTAGGGTTTCTTAAAGTCTAATGTAGTCTTTGCTTTCCTGATAATTGTGGAGAGATGGTACTTGAAGCTCAAAATAGATATGTATAGCATTGATACATTTAAGCGGTTAGTTGAATGATACATATGAATTAAAATTACTGCAAATAAGGCACATGCTCCGATAGAGGTCACGTAGCAATTTTTAAATTCCTAATTCTTAATTTTATAATTGCTAGGCCTAATAGCGTACCAATAACTCTGTGCTGTTAACCGGGGCATACCTGGCCCGTGTAGGTTTTTATCCTTTCAAGTTGAGTGATTTCTTTGTTGATGAACAAATAATTTAATGAATAAATTAATTAATTATACAACATTCTATGTAATTGAACGATGGTCAAAAGCATTCAATGTTCGTTTCATCACCAAACTTACCTCTTGGGCCGTGTTTTGGAACACTACTCATGCATTTGGTACCCGAATCGTGTCGGAAACTATTTATACTATTAAAATCCTTTTTTTTAAGTACTTTTTGCTTAAAAAATTTGCTTCACAAATGGCTCAGTACAAAATACTCGCTCCTAGGCAGCCTTCCTCTACAATAACTCCAATTTTATTGACAGCTTCTGCACAAACAAAATTGATAGAAATATCACTAGAACATGCCATTTTCCTAGATATTTCAACAATAGCTATCCGTAGAGGCAACCGCGGGGGTACCCTGTTCCTTCAGAAATCCAGATAGAACAACTTTCGATAATAGAGACAAATCAAAACCGTTTGGTCGAAATCCACCTCATATCTGGTTTTAAAGACATACCCCAAGACACTCGGGTAGACGTCGCAGCAAGAGAAGCCCCATTACAAGGATCATTCATAGCAGTAAAGTGGACAACCAAAGGCGCCATCAACACAATCCATAATTTAGTCCAAGCTCAATGGCAAACAGAATACTGCAACTTCGTCGCAAAATATAAATAGGCGATAGGGGTATATGTATGTATGTATGTATATATGTATGTATGTACAGTGAAACCTCTCTTGGCCAGACACCCACCGTCGACCAACTTTTGTCCGGCCAAGGGGAGTGTCCGGATAAGAGGATACGTACACATTTTCTAAATTTTGCTCTTATTTTAATTGTATAGTACATACTTGTATTTATATTTAGGCGATTAAAATAAATTCACTTTATTATGTAAGTACTTACATACGCATAGCGATCAAAAATAAAAATGAAGATTCGTTAAATAGCTTAAAGTAATATAATCTTCTTTTCTATACATATAAAACAGTTTGTCCTGACTGACTGATTGGTGATCAACGTACAGCCGAAACGGTAAAAGCTAGGAAGCTGAAATTTTGACTCAAGTATCCTTTCATAGTGTAGGTGCCCAGTAAGAAGGGATTTTGGATTCGACCTCCAAAGGGGGGGAAACAGACTCCAACGTTTGTATGAAAAATGTATACAATTTTCATCTGATTAACTTCAAACTTAGTTTGTATACTCCCAAAAGAATTCCAAGAAAAACTGCATACTTGGTTTTATTTTTCTTGGGGACTAAAATATGGGAGTTTTCCTGTAAAAAAAAATGGGGCACAAAAGGAAACCGCATCAACAGCCCACAGCCCAAACGGCAAGAGCTATGAAGCTGGGCTCAAAGATCCTATCATAGTGAAGGTGCCCACTAAAAAGGGATTTTGGAAAATTCAAGCTCCAAAGGGGGGAAAACGAGCTCCAAAGTATGTTTGAAAATTCTGCATTTGTGCACCGATCAACTTTAAATTTGATTTTTATAATCTATAAAAGAATACAAACAAAATTGCATACTCGGATTTTCGAAATTTGTGGTGGAGCTTGAATTATTGGGGTTTTAATATTTATTCACCTTTTCAAATGAAAAGTTTGTTATACATTTTTTGCGACCGATTTCAAATTTGGGGACTGTACTCTACGTAACTAAATCTACAACTTTGCATTCAAGGATTTTCAAAATATGCATTTTACAAATGCAGGCAGAACAAACAATAAAAAAAATCAAACAGTTGGGGACAACTAAGTATAAATACACACACACACACATCCAAGCAGCTGTTCGTGTAGTTGCGTGCAAATGATTGAAATAGCCAAAGCAAAATGTGTGAATGTACACACATACGTATGTACACATCTATGTACATGTACACATCTATGTATGTATGTATGTTCATTCGGCTTGCACTGACAGAGCAATAAATGTTAATTAATTAAAAATTATTTAACATTTTTAAAAGTAATTTTTTCTTTGTTTAGTACATTTGGCATTGGGGTTTTCATTAGTAACTTTATGCAGCAACAACAAATTACAAAGAACGCAAATATCAAATAGTTGGGGACATCGTATACACACACTGACACACAGAACAAGCAACAGTTCGTGTCGATGTGTGCAGCTCTCTACGTACGGTTTTAAAAGTAAAGAGAAACATGCATGCATATGTACATACATGTATGTATGTATGCCTGTGTACGTACATATATAGCATGTATGTACATTCGTATGTATGTATGTATGTATACATTGGACAATCGAGCACTGTTGTTTGATTGTAATTAATAATGTTCTATGGTTTTAAGTCAAATTTTTAAAACGAAAAACAACAACAAATGCAAGTCTTTGGCTCGCGCTTCGTCTTTCGTTTTGATCATTTACGCCTGTTAATTTCAAAGGCAAAATGCCAAAAGTTTACAGTTACCGTCGCTAGACAACGACTGCGTAAGCGATAGTAAAGCAGAAGCCGAAAGCGGACCTACGCACATTCTGCTTCGCGTTGCGGGCAGATGTACATATGTATGTTTGTATATGATTTGTTCTAATTGATCTCAATAAATTATAAGATGTTATTATTTAAATTTTCCTTTAATTGCATTTAAACTTCGATGGAATTATTGATTGTATCGACGGATTCAACTATCGATAGTTTTGATGCTCTATCACATAGAGCATCCGACACATGCCCATCTCTAGCATCTCAACTGATCGCATATTTACAGCGACTTACCGTTTTAGTGTTAGCTAACAACGCTACAAATGTATTCTGAACAAATCTAAGTGTCATTTACCGTTAAGCCTATTTTGTGAGTGTATTCATGCGATTTACAAAAGCAGAAACACACCTTTTACATTCACAACAATCATATTTGGAATTGAAGACACAAATAAGTGTTGAATTAAAAAATTTAATACATACTTATATATGTATGTATGTATATAGGCGGATACCGTCTGCATAAAAAATTTAAATGTATGTACATATCAGCGTTGGCGAACGCTCCAATTTTGGCGGGACGTCCCGATTTATAAATCAAAATTAACTAGACTGGAGAGAATTTGTTTTGCTAATAACTTTTCTTAGAATTGAAAATTTTAAACAGCAGTAGATAATTATATATAAATTATGTGTGCAAATTTTGATTTAGGTAGCATTTGAAATGTGGGCGCTATTGACAAAATTCTGTAGCGGGGGAAGGGGGGGAAATTTCAAAAAATAAAATAAACTCGTCCTTTCTCGGACCTAAGAGAATCTGGATGCCAACTTTGGTTATTCTAGCTTTTATAGTTTCTGAGATCCTTGCGTTCATCCAGACGGACGGATGGACAGACGGACGGACGGACGGATATGTCTAGATCGATTTCTCTCGTCATGCTGATCAAGAATATATATACTTTATGGGGTCGGAGATGCTTCCTTCTGTATGTTACATACTTTGCACAAACCTAATATACCCTTTTTACCCTACGGGTACAAGGTATAAAAATTGTATTAATTAGATTAAGGACATGTTCATGTACAGTTTCAACAGCATACATTTACATCAGTATCATGACTCTGCGTGTTTATATGCGTGTATGTATGCACCACAAAGCTAAACCAAAGCAGCAACAACAACAGCTGCGGGCAGCGCTGCGGGCAGAGCTACAAACAGAGAATGGACAGCGATTTTATTTATGGTTATAGCCAGAATTTTCTTCAGAATTGACCTATCATGATGAAATTTGGCATACAGACACATAATGGGATGTAGTTACCAAATTTTAGTTCAAAATTCCAGGAATTACGGGAGTTATGGACAAAAAAACACGAATTGCGGGGGAGTGGTGGGGTGTATCAGAAAAAAAATCACACCCTCGTCCTTTCTCGGGCTTAGGAGAATCTGAATACCAAGTTTGGTTATTCTTGCTCTTGTACTTGCTGAGATCCTTGCGTGCATACAGACGGAAAAACGGACATGACTATATCGACTCGGATTGTCACCCTGATCAAGAATATATATACTTTGTGGGGTCTGCCACGCCTCCTTTTGCCTGTTACATACATTCGCACAAAACTAGTATAGCCTTTCACCCTTTGGGTACAGGCTATAATTAATGCTTATACCTAAATCTTACAATAGACATACACGTACATACACACACACATATGTATATGAATGTCCAAAAAGTTATATTGGGGACTGCTTGCCACTCATTTCGGAGTTTGCTAAACATAGGAAGATTTATCCAATTGGTTGCAAAAGATGGTGCCATAATATTTTTATATGCGAATAATGTGTGGATAAAACTGCTTGACGGTTGTTATAGATTTTATAAATTTGCCTTAAAAAATACCCATATCTGTATATACATACATAAGTGTTCAGTTG